CCTGACAGGGGGAGCCCATGGGAGTGCCTTTAATCTGCTCATACATTTGTCCACCAAACATGAAGTAGGTTTTGAGGCAATGCCGTAAACGTTCTAGCAAATGTTCAGAATTTAGCGGTTTCTTGCTGTCATCGTAGCGTTCGGACAGAAGTTGGCCAACAACATCTATCGCTAGCTGTTGTGGGATGGAAGTGAAAAGTGAGACAACATCGAAGGATACCATGGATTAATCTGGTTCTACCTTCAAATGCTTTATTCGGTCAAGGAACTCTTTGGCAGAAGCTACGGTTGTTGTCGAGCCTACCGCCCGTAACTTGAGGAATTTGAACATCCATTTTGCCAATCCGACGTCGGGGTGCCGCGAAGGGAGACAATTGGCCTAAGTGGTGTGTCTTACTTGTTTACTTTAGGCAGACCGCAGAATCTGGCCGGAACTGTGTTGGTTTGTTTCATAGAAAACCAATCTCTGGGCGTGATTGCCCCGTTTGCTTTGGGTTCTGTCAGACTTTTGCTCATTTGGGTGACGCTCGAGGCATGGAACTCAGATGCCAACTCGGTCAACAGACATCTAGACCTGACAGCGGCCTACGAAGTCTTGCGCCATTACGTTGGAAAGAGCCGGAACAAAGCCAAATCAAACATAGGTAAAGCAAACAAACAGTACCCCACAACGAACTAGCCGGAAGAGGAGGCAGTGTTTCCAGGACCCTCTAACGGGTGACAAGGCGGCACGCTAATTGCTGTAAATGACCCCCAGCCCCACTGACAGCTAATTACCCTACGCCACTACAATTGCCCTCCTTCCCCCACCCTTTTTCGATTGCTGTTTCTAACCCTTTGACTGCATGATGATATCTGACAGTTGATTGGCCTATGGCCTCTATAATTACCCTCTTTTTGGTTGCTTTCTCTTATCTGATGATGGACACCTGTAAGTGTTCGAAAGCTCAGAACAATAAATCAATTGTTCTGGTGATCGACCGGCGTTCTTCCTCATCCATGCAAATGCCTGGATCACGAACCTTCTCATTCATTCGGAAAGTTATCAAAATCCGAGAATGACAAAGGTCGAACGGAGGCCATCGAGCGTCAGTTAACCTTAATTCTCAAAGACCTCCACAAAGAAGGTATTATGTCTAACGAAGCACTCGAAAGACTGACGTTTGAAGGTACGACGATATCCAGAATGCATGGCCTTCCGAAATTTCAAAAACAAGGGCTACCTTTCCGTCTTATGTTGGAAAATCTGAAGCCACTCGGAAATGACCTACATCCTCGATGTTTGAAAAACACATTTAAGTTTGTTGATTCTATGAAGAATGCGAGCATTAATGGAATTAAGATGTTTTCTTTATATGTATAATCACTTTTTACCAACGCACCCAGAGTAGAAACTATAGACTAGCTCTGTGACTTTATGCGGGACACGAACTAGCGGATATGTATGCTCGTGAATGCCATCACAGAACTTTTTATTCGATGCACTCAAAATGTACCATTTCTCTGCAATGGTCGGTTTTACAGACAGACAGGTGGTGTGGTAATGGGCTCGCCACTTAGCCTATTTCTCGCAAAATCGAGAAAACGAATCTAAAAGACACCGTCAATGACCTTGCATTTTAGGGTTAGTATGTGGACCGTATCTTCTGTTTGACAGACTATAACGCTGTCACTGACGCCTTGGTCGCGAAGTTTAACAGCGCGCATCCCTAGTTCAAATATTGTGCATAGACTGGGGTCGACGATGAAATTGCGTTGATTGATATATCCTGCGTAGAGTTTTCCGAAAAAAATTCTGGACGGGACAATACACCAAATTTCCCAATCTTGTTCAGGTCGATAGAGCCGGAGCGCAAAATAACTTCCTACAAGCTGCGCCCCTGCGAGGCCCACAGTTACTTAGCAGCATGCCCTCCCTCCCTTCCGTTCTCCTCCTTCCCGCCTAGACAGCTTCACCAATCTCTGTTCTCATAACCAGCCTTCTGTTATCGACCCTCTCCTCCCCCTCGATTCCAACGACTCATTTCTACGAAATCACGAGCTGTTTTTAACTTGTACCCCGTTCCCGGATAAATGTACTGACCCGACGATAATTTAACGAACTTATACGTACGGTTGCCAAGATAGTCATCTTAGCACCCATACTCATTTACTGGACAGGCTTTGCGGAATGGTGGCTAGCAAAAAGGGTAGAATGGTTCATCGCTTTCATACATAAGGGGTTGTGTAGTGATAAAGTTAAAACACGGATACCTTCACCTACACAAAAAACTGCAAACAACACACCCTTACTTATCCAGACAGCATCAACAAAGGCAACCATCTTTGTCTTGTGTCAACCGCAGAAATTCGCGCTTGCGCTAGATTTGCTGTAGACCGCATCGATTTTTAGCCAAAGCCATGTGTGAATGTAGGCTAGAAGATATTTCAGGTTTCTGGAGAAGCTGCCACAAGTTACGCTAGACTGATTTTATTACCTAATTGCGTAATAAGTCATGATTCACTCAAGGCAAATACCTTGCTGTGACACAATAAGCGCACGTTTTCGAAACATGGGAAGGTGGGAAGCTGCTTTAGAGTGCAGCCTCCCTCATAATCACCGTCATAATATTGGGCTTTCGAGGAGGCGGGGCGGGAAGGATGCTTGCGTGCTGCTTAAATTCGGCCTTGAAAAGTGCTATGCGAAGCACACATATTTAAAGGCATCCCTAATTCGATTTTGCACTTACCACACAACATGCTGCTCATTGTGGGTCTTATCTGCTTGCTCCCCTTGTCGGGTAAGTTCCTTTGTATCTCTCTATCTGTCCACTGAGGTGTTTATGGTTCAATATGACAAGAGGTTGTTCATATGTTGAAAACAAGGGCTTATTCAAACGTGTTTTAAGAGAAGGCCGAATGCTGTTAAATCCTCCGAGCTAATTTTAAGGAAACCCTAGTGAAGGTTAAAAGCCTATAACCCTTGTGGAGTTAATTGCCTATTTTTAATAATGTCCTCGATGATAGCGGTCAGCCGCAAAACACCGACACTCACTGTACTAGATAATGTGGTTAATCATGGTTTACAAAATACATTAATCTACTTGTAAATAGCTTAATTTTAGACAAAGTTAATTAACTTTACTTAACCGATGAGTACTATAACATTACTCTTCGGTTTTGCCTTACATTGGTTATATGGAATTCGCGCGAATTTATGTCAAAATAATAAACTTTCGGGAATTTATATTATTGGAATCAGTAGCATGCTTGACAACTGTGTACACATGATAACGTTTTCTAGTAAAATTTGCTGGATCAGATGGCAGGTACAGCTGCCCGAATTAAAAATTAAATTTTAATTTTAGGTCAATGCATTTCCGCCGGCCACAAATTGCTGA